GGATGGAAACTGATCATTTGTTTGACAAGGTAGCAACTTCGATGCGTGGAAAACTGGATACGTGTGGAGGTGTGCTGGTAGTTCTATTGTATAGGACGGTCCATCTTCGCCGCCCTTGACTTCCAAAACAGGCCACGGTCCTCTATATGTGGGCAGTAACTTCTGCGAGATGTTCTCCTCCGGCGCAAACTCTTTAGAACTAACCCAGACTAAGTCGCCTACTTGAAACTGTGAAGGGCGACGATGTTTGTTCGCTTGCTCTATCATCCTATGCTGGGCTTTTATGAGGTTCTCTACGACAGTAGTTAGTTCTTTCTCGTGCTGCACAGCAAACTCCCTGGTCCCGGGCGGCAATCGCTGAATCTGATCTCGGTTAAGTCCCTCAAACGGTCTGCGCGGTCTAAAGGACTTGTGCAGTTCGTTGGGAGTGCGGCAGGTGGCTAGATGCACGCTGTTATTGTACGCACTAGCTACTTTAGGCAACATCTCATCCCAGTTAATCTAATCTGGTCTAATGTACATGCGCAGAACTTGCTGTAGGATCTTGTTCATTTGCTCTGTCTGGCCGTTAGTCTCTGGATGGCGGTCGGACGACATCAACAACTTAGATCCGTATACTCCCATGAGTTCTTGCCAGTTCTGGCTAGTAAAGTGACTATCTCTATCGCTAACTATAGACAATGAGATTCCATTCTCACTAACCCAACAGTCAAAGAACCTCTGTATGACTAAATCAGTACGCGCCTCGGAAGGCAAAGGAACAAAAACTGCGTACTTGCTAAAGCGGTCAACTATGACCATGASTTGGCTCTTSCCATGCCTKCTCTTGACTYGAGTGTCCATGAAATCTATTGACAYTGAGTCTCCCRGCTGATCCRGAATGGGCAAGGGTYTGAGAAGACCTAGCGGGGCGCGYGTAGAACTCTTGTTACGYTGGSAGAGCTTACAACTGCGAACATACTCTACGCAGTCATTCTTCATCCCTGGCCAGGTATACGCGCGCATTAGATTGGCTAAGGTCTTTTGCCAACCAAAATGACCCTCYGTGTCATGGMRTTCGCCYAGAATCAGGCTAYGAATCTCTTCGCTATTGGGAATGCACARGCGGTCAAATACATTAGTCTTCTCAAAGAGTAGCCCTTCAGTAGTGCGGTAGTTCGGCTCAGTTTCTGGGGCCTCCTTAACCTTTTTAAGGAGCTCACTATAGATAGGGTCCTGCGCATAGGCCTCTCTAACCTTYTGTTGCAGGTCCTTCCCTATATCAAGATAGTGTACTATTGCCCCAAAGTAATCTGCCCTCSTACTCAGAGCATCCGCGACTACGTTRTATTTCCCTTTGACAGGCTTGAGCTCGAAGTCGTACTGATCTATCTCGGCGGCCCACCTAGTAAGCTTAGGTGTCATCTTGGCCTGCGTCTTTAACCATCGTAACGTTTCATGGTCAGAATAGACTTTGAAGTGCCTCCCAACCAAGTAGTGCTTCCAATGGTCTAAGGCTTGCCTGAGAGCGTAGATTTTTCTCTCATAGGTAGATGTTGCAACCTTCTCTGAAGGCATTCTGGCGGACATGAACTCTACGGGTCTATACCCATTGCCATCGTCTTGCTGCAACACCGCGCCTATGCCGTACTGGCTAGCATCCGTAGTAACGACTAAAGGCAAGGACGGATCGGCGACTTTAAGGACCGGATACTCTATCAACGCCTGCTTTAATTTTTTCATCGCAGACGTGCAGTCCTTGTCCCACTTCCAGATTGTCTCTTCTCTCAGCAATCTGCGAAGGGGCGCAGCGATGGTGGAGAAGTTCCTCACGAACTTCCTATAGTAATTAGGTAGGCCCAGGAACGAGCGCAACTCTGTCAGCGTACGTGGTGTGGGCCAATCTCTAATCGCTGCGATCTTGATATCCTCTGGCTTAACGCCGTCTTCGTCTAAGACGTGGCCTAAATACAAAACTTGGGTCTTCGCCCAATCGCACTTCTTTGCATTGATCTTGAAGTTAGCTTCCCTCAGCTTCTCCAAGACCTGCCTGAGATGACCCTGATGCTCTTCAAGGGTCCGGCTAAACACTAGGATGTCATCTAGGTAAACTACAACAAATCCGTCTTACCACGGCCTAAACAAATCGTTCATACAGCGCTGGAACGTAGCTCGCGCATTGGTTAGTCCAAAGGGCATCACTATAAACTCGTAATGCCCGTACATTGTCCGGAAGGTTGTCTTATACTGATCATCAGGGTGTACCTCTATCTGATGATATTCGGACTCTAAATCTATCTTAGAGAAATACTTGGCCCCCTGCACTCGGTCTAAGAGATCGTCTATCCTCGGCAGTGGCTCAACATTTTTCACTGTAATAGCATTCAGACCCCTATAGTCTATGCACATTCTCAGCTCTCCCTCTTTCTTAGGAACAAAGAGGACAGGTGCTCCGAAAGGAGACGAACTGGGCCTAATCCAACCCTTCTCGAGGAGCTCGTCTAACTGCTTGCGAAGCTCCTCTAACTCCCGCGGGGACATCCTATACACAGCACCCTTAGAGGTCCTACTGCCAGGCTCTATCTCAATACGGTGCTGGATGGGCCGCGGCACCGTGCCTGTCGGCGGCTCAGTCAAATCCTTAAACTCTTCCAACAGCTTGGCAATCGTGGGGTCCATCGGCTTCTCCTCCGTAGGCTCAGTCACTGGCCTAACATAGGCAACAAAGACTTGTTCCTCCAATCCCTCCTTCTTCACCAGTCTGGCGAACGCGGGGGAACTAAGGCAGCAGTGCGCCAAGGAATTCTCTACCCTTGACACATGGAACAGGCGGGCAGTCTTGGCCTCGCCTGACGAACTAGG